ATCTTAATGCTATTCCCATGGAAAAAAACGATTCGGTGAATTGTGTACGGTCATTACGGTCATAGTTACAGAAAAATAATAATGAATATGTCCTAGTATGCACGTTATGTAACATAAAATACTAAAAACTGTTATTGGATCGATTCTTTATCGGCATTGCATTGTTCTATCTCATTACACAAATGAAACAAAATATAGCATATCTTCCGCTATGTATTTGTATTTAACACCAGGCGGCGCTAACACATAATACTTTGTCACCATCACTTCTGATTCAATTCTAAAAATACTAATTTCATCACAAAGCGTACAAACTGGATTAGCAACAATACCAATAAAATAATAGACACGAACATTTCAGACGGTCTTGCATAGCGGAACAATGGGGGGGGGTTTATTTAAGGAACTCTCTCGTTCTCAACAAGATTTCGGCGGTCATTTGCATATAAGGCCTATTAAAAATCCATTTTCATCGCTGGACAAATGGTTTTTTAACGGTGAAACAACTTGTATTGGTAATTGCCTCTAGACTAAACTCTCCAACGCGTCTAGTCACTTCTCAACTGCTTTTGCCAGCTTGAACCAGCAACGGCAATATTGCTAACAGTATTACCATATTCTGATTCTGTGGAATAAACACATTGGGGTAGTAATATACAAACGCGAATTTTGAAATGTACACAGAAAGTGAAGATGCCACATATTGTTATGACAAGGTTGTCGCGAATGTTATGATAAGATTGTCAACCACTGATGTTTTCGGTCGATCAAATACGACCATATATATTTCAATCTCACGAATTTTGTTATTATTTTAAGTTGCATAATCCCTATAATATACGCTCCTTTTCAAACTTTTCAAACAAACTTCAATAAACGCTTACTGACGACGACGTGTTTTGCCCACACAAATAATGTTTGGTTAGAACTAGTCGTTCGCACTCAAAGATAAACTAATGACACTATGGACAAACTTGGCATGTCGCATCGCGAGCAGGTGTTGATCAGTGATTAGTAATTACTATCAGTATTACTATTTGTATGTTTGACAACGATAGAATCGATTAGCATGGATTCATCTAGATCATAAAATATATATAGAAACGATACTCTCACCAACATAACTGCACCAACAAGGAATTCTGTCGTACATTATATAACAACACAGTAACGCAGTAAATATGGTCTGTAAACGAGGTCGCTTCCACGCCAAACACGTGTTCAAAAAATGATTTTATTGGTAACTTATTTTCTCATGTGATTATAAGGACGTCAGTTTTGAAACCAGTTGATGACATCCGCTTGAGTTCTGATAAAATAGCATACTTCACTAGAAGGATTGTAAACGAATATAAGTCCAGAGAATTTTTGGGAATAGATATTGAAAATTTGTATGAAATCTGATTAGTTATCAATAAATGTTCATCATAACAAACATTATGATTAAAACATATAAAATATGACACAAAAAATCAAAAGCAAATGGCACCCATATTAAACTCAGTGCATACAAATAGGATATGTCATTGTTATTTATGGTCATTTGTTGAAAACCGGTGTTCGTCGCCACGCGTTCTGTTTGATATAGAACTCGTAGCCACGTATGCAAGAGGTGCTGAATTGTTCGATTGACGGACATCGAGTTACGAAAATATTAAGTTACAAAAATGACCACGCCCATATTTCAGAAACTTTCGAGAATCCACGGTCAAATTAAATTAACCGAACGGGAAATATACAACGTTAAATAAAACAAAAATTGTATGTTGCACTAGTTCGGTTAACTGTTAATTACAGTTCGAGTTACTAAATGTGGACGTTCAATAAAAACAAAAATGTATGTATCCCATAACTCGAAGTTATAGTCAGTTCAGGTCATAGTAGTTCATGGGTGTTTTCGATGGAATTTTGAGCTCAAAAGAACTGGTCTATTTATCAGTACCAGTGTCATATTTGCAAGGTCATGCGAAGGTTATTGATGCGCAATTGACAACTGCGCATTTCACTGATGATTCGTACAGCTGGTGTATAATTTCTTCGTTCATTAATACCGCTCATCTATTGAAAGGTAAGAAATATGTTGGTATGCGAAATGTCACGATATGAATGTTTGTTTTGGGAATGTTTAATTAACTATGTGTTTTTTTTTACAATTAAAGATTTCACTTATATGTATAAGTAGGGCACATCCCAATTGAAACTGTTTGGCCCAAAATTAAATTATGAATGACTCATGGTATACCTCACATGCATAACAAATTCGGGTCCTGTAAAAGGGTTAATTATTGTAATTATTCACTGGGTTTTAATATTGTTTATTTCACTGACTGGAAAATGTGCTATATTGAAACCCAGTGAATATGCAAAATTTAGCAATAGAACACATGATCTAAATGATAAAACCTTGATTTTGTAACCATATGGATATGCCTGAAATACTAAATGAGTGAAATTTAAACGCAGTGAATATTAGTCATTTCACAATAGTACAACGTGTACTACCATGTCGGGTATTCAATGTTTATTTTTAGTGATATTATGCTATGTATAGTACGGTTCAGTTTAAAAAAAAAAGGTTTAATATATCCAATGAAAGTGAAAAGAACGGGAAACGAAATGTTCTAATCGAAATAGGCCTAGTCTGCGTAAATATGTTCATATTTAAATTACACGCCATCGTTCATCTGGTTTTGCATATACCACAAAACAAACAAAGCAGTAATCAAGACTGATTGTCATCCATGATGGATAGTAGCACAGATATGTAATATTTATCGCAACAAATGTGCTTTGGCCGAATTCGAATCGGGAACCTTTTAATCGTTATTTGAAATTTTCTGCGACAAACCTGGCGTTTGGAAATATTCACTCTCGAACCTACTGAGACATTGTGGACAATATTCAGCAATCAATGCATATCAAGGAATACAAGCATTTGGGTTAATGAACTGAAATGAATTAGGAATATAAGGTGTTTATACGAGCCGATGAAATAGTGTCTATCGAATTTCGAATAGAACCACCGACCTTACCATATTATTAGGACGATTTTTCACATGGAGGTATGGTCAGTTCATCAACGCCGCTGCCCTATTTTCAAGGTTATTTGATGCGCCATTGGCATATGTGCATGTTAATAACAATCCGTACAGCTTAGGTAAATATATTAAAATAGGGAGGTGATCAAAATCAAATCAGCGGTTTCCGACCAGGTATCCGCGGCGCTCCGGGAAGCTACGAGGAGCTGCCTTGTCCACCGGGGAGCTCCCCGGGGCTCTGGGGGAACTCAAAGCGATTTGCAAATTCATGCAAGAATATTCACGAGCTGGAAATTCAGCACGGCTCCTCGTTTTCGCCAACAGAATGGAACAAAATTAAAAACCCATTTTAACCCCCCCCCCCCAAAAAAAAACATAAAAATAGGACGAACTAAACTAAAATCTTTATACATTCATTGTAAACGTTTTTACATTTTGAAACATTGTAGCAAGGTTTCCATTGACTTATTTCATAGATTCTTGTCGATTTCACAAAATTGATGACCTAAATATTTGCTGTGTCACGTTGCTTTGCCGATGTAAACATAGGACGACTTGCGTTATAGCTAGCACTGAATTTAATTATTTCCTATTATAAAAAAGTATTACAGTAGATCGCACTGAAATAAAAACTCGTGCTTTGCCGACAAAACGGAACTAATAGTATGTGTCCTTGCAAATTCTGGGTCTGAAGTGCAAGTACGTGTTTCTCCAAGTCACGTAAATTTCACACACAAAGTAAATATTGTCTGTGTCACATTCCATTGTTGACGTAAAACATCGCATGACGTGCGCTATAATATCTTGCTCTGATTTAAATAAAAAAGAAATCAATAAAAACGGACTTTAGTGTATCGCACTGAAATTAAAACTCGTACGCCATAATTCATAACTTCGTGGCTACGCAACTTTGACAAAACGCTGGATGGCGATACACAGTTTCCTAAGTAAAATACCATTTTCCTTCAAACTATCGAGATCAAACTGAGTGAATATAATTAAGACGCTTTTGTTGACTTGTGCGCACTGGCACTAATCAGAATCAATTTCTATTAATTTGTCAAACACCGGGCAGCTACTTTTCTACTTGACTAGTTGAACCTGTTCGTATTCGGACAGAAAAAAGGCCGTTTCCGGGTGACGTCATTAAAAACTAATTATTGAAATCGGCGGAGCTGCCCGGAGTTCCTTGGAGGACATGATTGCTCGCCGGAGCTCTGTTGATAAACGGTCTGAAACCGCTTGTTTGATTATGATCATCTCACTTACTAAGGTCATTCATCTGTTGAAAGGTAAGCAATATAATGGTCCGTGATGGTGCAGTCTTATATCACATGATAATGTTGCAGTATTTAATGCATGGACTTCTTGCGAGCGTAAAATACTTATTTATTCTGTCTTCACAATTTGTATATGTTGACCAGTGTTCTTGGCGATCCGAAAGGGCAACTATTATGTTGGACTGTCTGCTTTCCGCTTTTGAGTGCATAGTAGGATAAAAATCGTGCTTTCGAAATCCTTACTGTATTGGGAATTCATTCAGTACAACGTCACCAATCTAATATCAGGTAGTATTAAGACACAACACTGAAACATTAATAAATTAATAGTAATATTACAATATTTTAAAAAATGCTAAAATGCAGAAAATCTACATGATATATATGCTGTGTTGATAATTCGTTGAAAAGGTCACCTATTTTATCCGCCCTTAAAAATCATCATCATATCGTATTTATAAATCCTGTTATGGCTTAAAATAGATTGCGGCAGTCATCTTGGCCCCCATCTTGGAAATCTAAATTACCTGAACGGTGTCACGTGGCTTCATTCAGACTTACATCAGTCACTAGATACACATGTGTGATATAAAATATATTAGTAAACATGAGGTGGACATATCTTTTGGCTATGTAGTCTGCAGCTACTCTATTTTATTGTTTCCAGGTTTCGATCAGAATCATGATCACTTATATCCTGCATAATATCTTTGATATTCTTAACACTCCAACTAATGTTATTTTACTGTTGTTGGTGTTTATCATAACATATGGATTGTTCAGTTTACGTAAACCATCTGGGTTTCCACCTGGACCAATGGGATATCCGTTTATTGGCAATATGATTGGTGAGTATGAAGTTATCAAGCTTAAAACAATGTTATTAGTCCCATACCTGACCTATCATATGGATTCTACTAGCCCTGGCCTTGTGATTCAAAACACACACACGCATAAATGCGAACCAATCAATTTCATTATCGGAATCTACTTCACACGACGTCCGGCGATTTGAACTTTTTTGAAAACGTACAAAATAACTTATTTTGTCGACGCATATTTACCGTAGTGTATCTATATTTATCAGTTTACAGATCAAATAATTCCAGAATAATGATGCAAGCGAAATCATATTTTGTGAATCGATATCACAGTTCCTGACATCACATAAGCGCGTGTTTTATTAAAACTAACAACAATATTTATATATTTATTTATATATATCCACAGTAAATTCATCAGTGTACTAGTACTTGAATGTGCACAAGAAATACAAATAAATAAAAAGGCTGTGATCGAAATAAACACACTCAATAAATGCAATAGACAAAATACTTTAAATACTTAAAATATAACATAACATAAATGTATGCAATAATATTCAAGCGATAAAACAATTATATTCAAAGCAATATTTGTATCCAGTACAATACCACGCGATATAAATTATTAGTTCAGAGTTCACATCTGTTTTAGTAAAGAGATTTAAAATAATGACGTTTAAACCCCCTCGAAGGGGTGGGGGTCTTATCAGCACCGTCTTTGATTTTCAAAGTAGGCGCGATTAGCTCCACGTTCCAACAATTGTCTATGTATGTATAATATTATGGGATGTTACGTAGCCCAAAAGGGTTAAATATTACTGCTCCAATAAAAAACTTCAAATTATATTGTCAGCCGAAACATTGCCTGTCTACGAGTCAGCGCCATTGTGAGCATTATGCAGTGGCCACCATATTTACGCCTCTTAAAATAATTGCTGGAGCTTGTCTTTTGTTCATAATCGGCCAAACAAAAGTTGATTTAGGCCTGGTTCGCGCAGAACCAAATACAACAGCTTACGCAATCATTTGAGAATCAATATATTTGGGAATCTATTTTGAATCCTAGACGGCGATAACTCTAAGATATTGATGCCACGCGCTGACATTATTAATTCGTTGATTTTGTTTTTGACTTGCTAAGTGATTAAATCAAGAGGGTCGTCACCTGCGCACAAGCGGGAATTGAGTCCTAAGCGATGATAACAACACATGCTAAAACGCAAAGGCTCATGGGTAGACGCATGTTTGTAAACATTGACATGCTATGGCCATCTGACGCATGTGCAAGTGACAACTCCCCCGCTTTAAGTAAATTAATTTTGTTAGCCTGACGTGCGATCATGTTTGCTCAAAACACTTCGAACTATTGTCACTTAATCAACGTCAACTAATCAATGTTTCAATATTCAACGATCAACGGTATCGCACAGTCACTCTTTATCACTGGCGCCATACACCAATATTCGTGTAGCATCACACACCTCCCAATCGGTTAATCACAACCACGCGATGAGTCGTCCATTTTCTACTCAAACGAAGTTTGTGTTTAATAACGTCAAAGCTCAGGACGTAGGAAAATTATATTATTAAAAAACAAAAATATAATTTGCCTACCTCCTCTTGTATATTAAACTGTCTTTATTGTCAATTACCATTGCCCTCACTACCTATTCACGTAATGGAATGCTCTTCTTATCAATGTCCTATGTCAATAATAATGTTTACGTGGTAAAAATATTCCAATATACAAATAACAATGGCAATGACACTAGTATTTACCAAGCAAACATTATGACAGAGACTTCCAAACTCATTATATGCAATAAAATCTTCAAGTGGTTTTATATTATATTTATTAGAAGTAGATAACGAACCTCTAGTAACTCTTGCAAAATATGGTAAGAAATATGGAGATGTATTTACAATCAAGATTGGCAGTCAGCCTGTGATTGTACTCAACACAGTAGACGTTATTAAAGAAGCATTGGTGAAGAAACAGAACGATTTTGCTGGGAGACCATACTACTATTCACGTAAGTCACTGAGCATATTCATATATATTACCAGTCATAGTACATAGTTATTGCCCGTAGAGATGACATTGTCATTCGTAGATGAAAAAAAAGACGTGTATATTAAATTTACTTGAATGTTTTATGAAAATTATCCCAGTGTCAGGTTTGATGGCGGAAGAGTGTGAAGACATTACATTTGGTAACTACAGTGCTAAGTGGAAGCTGCAGCGAAAAATAGGACACCAAGCCATCAGGTAGGTTTAATAATCTGGTTGCACTATTTATAGCATTAAATCTTTCTTACATGTATACACGTCTAGACCTAATCACGCCGCCAATAGACCAGTTACAGACATACTTATTCATCCGTGATGCAGAATATAGTTGCACGTATTCAACAGTAATAAAGAGTCTGCCTGAAGCTGAAGCCAACTGGTGTATATTTTTATTAACCAGCTAATATGGTCTGCATAAGATGTTATATGCAAAAGATGTGAGCAAATAAATCATTTATAATCTCCAGCAGGTCAGATCTTGATAGCAATGATCCAAGGGAATGTTTGTACTGTCCGACCCGAGGAGCTCAAACATCATCATACCCGCCAAACCCACGACAGTAAAATTAGTCAGTTCTAATCAATGTTTTTCTCATTTTTTTTAGAAACTATGCAAGTGGAGACAAACTAGAATCACTGATACGGTATGACGCCTTTCCCAGTTTTCAGAGAGCTGTCGCTAGAGAAAATGGAAAACCATTTCGTCCCCATTCACTAATTTATCTGCTTGTAGGGAACATCATTCTTTCCATGTGTTTGGGGAAGAAGTAAGTCAATGTTACTACTACTACTACCAATGAATAATCTATTTATTGTGGTGTAGTAGATTATACTCATCATTAAACATGTCAACCAAGTCATAGACAATCTGCTGAATCTCAAAAAATTGTCATTGATGTGATTCTGCTTCGTGTGAGACTTGGAATCATTCGATCATATTGAAATCAACAATCTCACTGTTGTAACATAAGCAGTCAACAAATACGAGGCTGACCTAAATAGGGGCGGTCCACTCAATTGGCATAGATATGTTATAATTGCTATAAAATTTGCACTCAATGGATATGATATAATTGCTATTTCATATGTTTGATCACAGATTCGAAAATGACGATCCTGAATTTCTAAAGATTCTCGAAGTTCTGAATAACTTGGATCAAGCTATTGGGAATGGACTGGTCGCTGACTTTGTTCCAATATTTCGCTACATACCTACTCCTGGTGTAAACAGATTAAAGAAAGTTCTGAAGGAGTGGTTCAACTTAATTCAAAATCAGGTCAATGAAAGTAAAGGCAAATTTGACTCTGGTAAGAAAATCTAATTAAAATATTTACTCAAATGGATCAGTACCTTATGAGGTAAAGTTCAAGTCACCATTTCGTCCGGTGAAGGACGTCACATGTTTAGTCTGACATAAGATAGTGTGAGGGGAGTTGCATGACGATGTTGGCTGAACACGCATTTCAAAATATGACAACTCGAATTTGAGAGAAAATACACTGAGAAAAATTTCTGTATCGTATGGTATAGTTATAAATGACATTTATGAGCTGAAACAATAATATACTAGTTGCAAATTAATTCGAGTTCTGTTGAACGTAACACCAACTTGGGAATATTGGGAATGTAAAGACGCATTGATATCCCATTTCCATACAATTGATTCAAATGTTTCTAAACATTTTACATGTTAGAAGTAAATTAATTAATTAATTAGAGACGTTGTAATGGGCGCACAAGGGTGGTGACCTATATTTTCCGTTTAATTGAATAATAAGGCGTTTCTGCAAATGTTGCCAGACACGTAAGGAAGCAAACAGAAACAAATTCACGAAGGTTGCAAAATAAGAATCCTGTACATTTTAATGACATCTTACACTCTGACCAACACTTTGCATCAATAGTTTTATTGCCTGGACGATTGACAGCGGGTTTTTGACGTATTGAAAGCTGCACGAAACGACGCATTATTGATTTGTTGCTAATTGTTTGAAGAAAACAAAAACCTGATAAGCTGATAAGCAGGGGCACATAACTCCGGTATCGTTGACGTTGTATTTAGTATGTGCTGCACGGCTACGAATTATGAAGGCGGCTAATTTGAATAAATCAATACATGGACACGATACTTATTTGCATATTGCATTTCTTAATTTGTTTTCCACCGAACTGTTTGACGGGGACTATGTATTATACGAATACTTATTCATAAATTGTTGCTTTCCAACGAATTTGCATATTGGTACAATATTCTCAAGTAATACACAAGTGAAATGCCTTGTTAATGACATCTTATTTCAGGTGACATGAATTGTGTGAGTTGCCGACAAATGACGTGATTCAACAAGATGTATGTAAAGTCGTGAATAATGTTGCTACTAACATTTTCAGTTTAAAAATCATTTCGTTTGTCCTTTATATTTGTTAATTCTCTCGCATGAATTATTTCATAATTTTAGTCATTGGTGATTAGCGTGCCCCAATTTCATCGTTGGTTTGTTTGTCATAATTGCTTTCAATTTATTTTTCTAAAGTGTTTAAAACTTTTTACCATACTGACTGATCTGACTGGGGAATATAAGCAATGACTCTAGATATAGTATTACTAAATTGTTCTACTACAAATAATATCATATTGTTACAATATACTCAGGTAATAATGACGTGAAAAGTCTCATCGACGATCTCTTATCAATTCAGCGTAAAGCAGAGTTGGCCGGTGAAGACCTTGCCAAGCAACTTACAGACGTTAATCTACGTCAGACCCTTGCTGATCTAGTTGGAGGTACGTTTCATTTCATTATTGACAAAACGTTACAAATATTTGTTTTACAATTGTTTAAACCAAACTATGACTTTTATTTCTGGACTATTCAGCGTTTAACAGAAATAGAAATAAATAATGATTAGTTAAATATAGATCACTGTCTTGTTTATATCGATTGCATAGCGATATGTCACACCCATTCACAGAAGGTTGTGTTTCTCGTAATTTGTTTACTATAAAACTAGTTTTATAGTTGGGTCAACTAACGAATTTACAATATACTCTACATTTCTAATTAATTGCATTTTAGGGGGTTTGGATATCACCATATCTTTATTAGATTGGGCCGTTGCTTTTCTGACGTATTACCCAGATGTACAGTTTAAAGTACAAAGTGAAATCGATGACGTCATTGGCGATGGCCGTCTACCGTTGTTATCTGATAAGGGTAAACTACCATACTGTGAAGCAGTAATTCGTGAACTTCTGCGAATAAGACCGGTGGTACCGCTTAGCGTACCCCATGCTACTACAGTTGATACGTCTGTGGGTAGGTGGTGTGTTTTTCACAACAAATAACAAAAAGTCAACTAAATAAAATATTGTAACACAATTGTAGGAACATTCGACTCAAAACACTTATTGAGGACATGAATAAATCTCGTGTCCTTTTCACTCTTGACGAGATATCAATCATGCCATTCCCGTAGATATCAATTAAACAACACAACGTATAGGATATCTGAACTATTCAAATATTCGAAAACACTGAATAACGTGTGCTTGCAACTGAATACAGAACAACATGTATACAAAACACGAATGAACGCAAGATTTAGTGAATGAAAAGAACCCCAAATAATGGACAACAGAACACTCGACGTTTGTTTTAATATAATACAGGTGGGTATGTAGTACCAAAGGATACATGGATTTGGTGTAACCTGTGGAATGTCCATATGAATGAGAAACATTGGGACAAACCAGAAGAGTTTCGTCCAGGTAAGGTATATATCGAATTTCAACTAACACTTTATATTACATGTTGCATATTTTCTTGAATTGTTTTGATGGTCACAGCTCTCGATGAACATATTTTCTGTGTCAGAATATCTGTAGCATCGGGCACATGGTAGCAGACATCACTTGTACTTGCAAACTTACATTTAAACAAATTAATTGACTGACACAGAGTAATTAATAAAAAGAACCACAA